TTGTGGTTGCCGCGCATTCTTCACCCAACCCCATCGACATCCCTTTCCTGATCGGAAGGGATCACTTTTCCACTCAGTCTTTGGTACAGCCCGTCTCCTCGTCGGCCAACTCCGAGTTCGGTCGCCTCGGACAGTCGCGCCGGCATGCGTTCTCCCGGTAATGCCATCAGCACTCTAACCTCCTCGTCATGCTTACCCTCGAGTACTCGCGGACCTCTCCCCATCGCTCGGGATTTGGCGTATCGACGTTTCATCATTGTGCCTTGCGACATCGTTACTCAGCCGGTTACGCTCCCCCTTATGCTGCCGTAGGAGGGCCATCCCGCAGTCTTGGGTCGCGATAGACCTCCCTCCTTCTCCGGAATGACCTGTCGGCGACGCCAACCTCACGCAGTCGGGTGCCTGAGCATCCTAGCGATCATCGCCTCACGTCAAACGCTCGTGACAGGGTCCCGCCACTTTGGTTCAGTGAATGGCGCGGAGTAACATCGTATTGCTGCATCAGGATGCGTCCGGCCAGCCCAGCGCCAACTCCTCGGCTGCGCTCCCTCCCCGGGATTACTACTGGCAACTATGGCGTGGGGTGACCTCGAGCTATACCTACAAGCGTGGGGCTGGCGATTGCCGTGCCGATTCCCTGTTCCTCTGCTTCCCCATGGTCCGCTCCCTGGGTTCCACCAATGTTTGATGGAGTAAGCCTTGAGGCGGGCGGCCATTCTATACCCTCTGTTCCCTTGTCGTACCCTTCGGGATAACCGTGGTCGCGCCCCCCTCACCAAGGGAACTTCTCGCTGTTCCTAATATACAACTAACGTCTGCCGTCGAGGTAGCCAACCCCCGCCAGCTCCGAGCGGGGCTGGAGGTGTTGTCGTTCTCTGTTTGCTCCTTTCTCCCCTCAGTTTCTATGAACTGCTTCGCAGCATCTGCCGGAAATATTTGTATGCGTGATGGACGCTCAGAATTCGACGGCGGAAATGGCGTCCCAGGGCGACTGCTTGCAGTGACCCTTCTGCGTCCTTTGAGCAGTCAGACCTCAGGGCCTTGTCCTGCTTCCCTTGTCCTGCCTTCTGCCCCGCAATTTTGCAGTATGAGCGACACCCTCGCTCGCAATCGCCTCGCGTCTAACACTTTGTCCCGGCCCCCGTGCCCACGTGCGCCTCGGCAGGGTAATGAGCGTGGGGTCCAGGGAGATGCAGAACGAATGGTTGACGTCTCTCTCTCTTGAGTACAGGAGCGTCGACAGCCCGATGAGAGACTGGGGCTCCGCCAGAATCACGTCTGCAAGTTGGCGGAGCTCGCGTTGGCCTGTCCCGTGGACGGTGTGGCCAGAACCAGTGATGATGGCGCTCCCCGTCGTCGTCGTTGCCGCATGTGACCGTTTATGGCCATCTGCAATGAGAGTACAGACCCCTTCTTGTACCCGTACTCCCTCCTCCAAAACCACTGCTACGACGGTACCGGGATCTCTCCTTGGCGCCAGCCTCGAGTGCCGAGGCTAACCACCTTCTCGTCCGACGACCGCTGCCCATGGTGCCGCCCATGAAGTGAAATCAAGGACTCATGAGCCATGACACCTCGGCGTCATCGATCTTGCCCGCTGGCCGGTAACCGCAGCCTCGGTAAGCCCAGTGGGCGGTTCTGTCCTGCGATAGCAACTGCCGTAATCGGCCGAACGGTGGGCGAGGATTAGAGTTGTCGAAACAGACCGACTGAGGAACTTGTGTGTCTCCTTGAACGTGCCCGGTCCGCATTAGCTCTATTCGCTCACGGGCAGTGATGGTGTATGAAATCGTGCAGAAGGGCATACACCTCGCTGTGATGTAGTGAGTGCGATCGCTAATCGGCTCCTCGCAATACACGGGCATGCGGTCATGGACCACAGACAGCTCGGGCTGCCCGTCTACTCGGAACGTCCACAAAAGATGTACCAGAAGTTGCCAGGTTCCGCAAATTGCCCTCCGCTGGTTACTCCGAAGGAAACGCCAGGGAAATCAGGATTTCACGGCTCTCACAAGCTTTTACTTTACTCAATCATACAGCCTTAAGTCACAGTTACAACACCATCTATTTGCATACTTCCACGCCAGGAAAGCGATTAAATCGTACTGATTCGAATGCTTTAACCACTCTATATGTTCATCAGCAATTGCGTTTGCATCTGCCTTGTCCTACACTCGCGAGAGTACGCGGCTTCCCCATTAACAGGACGGACAGATAAACCCGGGATAGCCGGGCAACAGAAAACTCAAAGGCGGGAGACGTTGCATGAGTGTTTCCGACGAAACCCTGCAGGCAATCATACGGGACTACGCCGGCTTCGCGCTTTCCGCAGCCGAACTGGAACTGGTCCGCCCCGAGATTGACTACTATCTGGAACAGCTGGCGATACTGAATGAACTGGACCTCTCTGACACCTTGTCCGGTCGCCTGCTGCGAATGCCCGCCGCCGATGAGACAACGGCGCGGAATACAGGGAGTGAATAGTATGCCCAGCAACGAATTGCTGTCTTCTACCATCGCGGAGCTCGCCCCTCGCATTCGCTCCGGCGAGGTGTCGCCCGTAGAGCTGACTGAGGCGGCACTGGCACAGGCAGAAGCGATGCAGCCGTCCCTGAACACTTTCATCACCCTCTTGCCCGAGCAGGCCCTAGAACAGGCCCGCGAGGAGGAGGCTGCCATTGCACGCGGCGAATACAAGGGGGCCCTGCAGGGCATCCCCATCGGCCTGAAGGACAACCTGGCGACTGCGGGCATCCGGACAACTCTCGGCACCAAGGTGCTGCAGGATTTTGTCCCTGACGAGGACGCGGAGGTTGCGATTCGCTGCCGGGCAGCCGGCGCGATTATCCTGGGCAAGGAGAACATGGAGGAATTCGCCGCTGGCGCCACCTCCAACAACCCCCACTTCGGACCCGTGCGTAATCCTTGGGGAACGGACCACATTCCCGGCGGCTCCAGCGGAGGAGGAGGCGCCAACGTCGCTGCAGAGGTGACCTTCGCGTCCCTCGGAACCGACCTCGGCGGTTCGGTACGGCTCCCCGGCTCATTCTGCGGAGTGGTCGGACTGAAACAGACCTTCGGACGTGTGAGCCAGCGGGGACTGCTGGTCACCAGCTTTAATGGCGATCACATCGGCCCGATGACCCGCTCAGTGGCCGACAGCGCCATCGTGCTGCAGGCCATAGCGGGACACGACCCGCTGGACCCAAGTTCAGTGCCGGTACCGGTGTCCGACTACTCCGCAGGACTGGCCCGCGGAGTGCGGGGACTCCGCATGGGCGTCCCTTCCAACTACTACTTCGAGGACCTCGAACCCGATGTGGAGGAAGCCACCCTGAGGGCAATTGCGGCTTTGGAGGAACTGGGGGCGATCTCGGTTCCGGTTGAACTCCCCATGATGAAGTACATCGGGGCAGTGCGGATGGCGGCAATGTCCGACGCCATCGTTACTCACGAGCCCTTCCTGCGGTCCAACCGAGACGACTACGGTCCGGATGTTCTCTACCGCACCCTGGGCGGCCAGTTCGTCCTAGGCCATCACTACTCCAAGGCCATGAAGGCACAGCGACTAATCCAGGAGGATTACGCTCGCGTGCTGCAGGATGTGGACTTCATTGTGACTCCGACCACGCCGCTCTGTGCACCGCGCATCGACGCCCCGTACATTGAACACTTGGGCGAGACGCATCGTGTCCGCGGGCCCGGGTCCGGGCTCGTTTCGCGCAACACCAGTCCGCTGAACGCCACCGGCCATCCCGCCATTACGGTCCCGAGTGGGCTGAACCACGCGGGATTGCCCATCGGCCTGCAGTTCATAGCCGCCGGCTTCCGCGAAGACTTGCTCTTCCAGGTTGCGGCGTCTTACGAGGGCGTGTCCCCTTCCCAGGGTCGCCGCCCGCCCGTGCTTCAGGGTTAGCACACCTCCTATCAGGAGAGGCGCCTTATGAGTGCCCTGGCCGTGCTTAAATTTGTCACGGCACTCCAATAATTCAGGAAAAAACTACGAACAGGAGAGCAGCTATGCCGGCAAGCTGGGTTGATATCAGCGTTGGCGACGGCACGTCCATGGAAGGGTATTTGACCCAACCCGAGGGTGATGGCAGTCATCCCGCCGTCGTGGTTATCCAGGAAATCTGGGGCGTCAACTCGCATATCCAGGCAGTAACCGACCGTCTGCCATCTCAGGGTTATGTCGGGCTGGCACCCGCCATGTTCCACCGCCAGGGGCGCATGATCGCCGGCCTGCACGAGGAGCTGCAGACCGCCGTCGGCATGATGCAGCAATGCAACGACGCGGGAATCCTGTCTGATGTGAATGCGGCGGTCAGCCACCTCAAGAGCCAGAACTTCGTAAACGGCAAGATTGGCATCGTGGGATTCTGCTTCGGTGGGCGGGTCGCCTACCTCGCAGCCTGTAACGTCTCCGACTTGTCAGCGTCCGTCGTATTCTACGGCGGTAACATCGGCGTTGCTCTGGGAGACGGGCAGACTCCCCTAGAACAGACCGGAAGCATCAGCTGCCCGGTACTGGGGTTGTTCGGCGAGGAGGACGCGAATCCTACGCCGGACTTTGTCAACGAGATCGACGCCGAGATGACCCGCCTCGGCAAGACCCACGAGTTCCACCAGTACGCTGGAGCAGGACACGGCTTCCACTGCGAGGCGCGGGGCAGCTATCGCACGGAGGCAGCGCAGGACGCGTGGGGCAAGGCAATGGCCTGGTTCGACCAGAACCTCAAGTAACCCTTGGCATACTTGCGGCTGGCAAACGGCGCTACAAAAGACAGGGGCAGGACTGAGTCCTGCCCCTGTTGTTCATCGGCCAAATATCGTCGCTCTCCTACATCACCGAGCGAACTACTCCCCCGTCGACCAGGATTGTGGTGCCAGTTACGTAGGTGTTCTTGTCAGAACATAGGTAGGCGACAAAATCGCCCAGCTCCTCGGGTCGACCAAAACGGCCAACGGGAATGCGGGAGGCACCGGCTTCCAGCACCGTCTCCAGATCTTGGCCCGTCTCCTCGGAGCGGTTCTCGAAGATGTGCCGCATGCGCTCGGTCATCAGGAACCCGGGCGCCACATTGTTGATCAGGATGTTGTCCCGGCCTACCTCGTCGGCGAGGCTCTTGGCATAGGCCACGGCACCCATCCGGGTCACGCCTGAGGTTACCAGGTTGTCGATCGGCTGGTAGACCGTGGAGGCAAGAATGTTGCAGATGCGCCCCCACTTCTGTTCTCGCATGTGAGGAGCGGCCTCCCGTCCCATCCGAATGAAGAACGAGAGGGCCATATCGATCGACTGGCTCCATGTCTCTTCGCTGGTGTCCGTCGCCCGCCCGGCAGGTGGACCACCGGAATTGGCCACGACGATGTCCAGCCGCCCGTAGTGGTCGACAGCAGACCGGATGAGGCGTTGAATATCCTCCAGCTTGGACAGGTCACCGGGCACCGCCAGCACATCGGCACCGGTTGCCGAACGGATCTCTCCAGCCGCGGCTTCCAGTTCTTCGGCGTTACGGCTGTTGATAACCAGGTTCGCTCCCTCTTGGGCCAACGAGTCCGCACAGGCCCGCCCAAGGCCCTTGCTGCCGCCGCCAATGACCGCAACCCTGCCGCTGACACCCAGGTCCATAACACGCCCTCCAGCTAGAGACTGCCGCCATGCTACCAACCGACCGCATGCGTGGCAACCTGGAAAAACATACTCCAGTCAAGGGGCCTCCGGGAGCCAAGACGGGATAATGCGTCAAAGGTCTCTTTCTTGTCCCTGGCTATTCCACTATAGAGATACTCACTCGTACGGACACATCACCATTCCTGGCCAAGGCCCATTCAGCCACGCGGTGGCCGACAACCCACGCGACTCCTCGATCGCAGGCCAGCAGTGGAATGTGGTCGCGTTGCTCCCGGGGAACCTTGGCGTCGACGAAATAGTCCTGAAGCTTCTTGGTCCCTGTCATCCCAGAAGGCTGAAAACGGTCCCCTGGCCGACGTGAGCGGACCGTAGCAGATTCGCCTAGCGCGTCTCGATTCAACACCACGCTGCAGCCTCGGGCAGGCAACACAGGGATGCTTTGGATTCCAGGAGAATCTACGACCTGAGCCCTGAGCCTCCAACCGCCCAGGACCGTCTCAAATGCTTCACCAGTCATACTGGGAAGATCAATGCTGTATTCCCCGGCTGATTCAGGATTCGTTTGCGAATTCCCTTTTCTAACAATGCGCAGGGTTCCCGAGTCCATCCGGGCGCAAACGCCACGGGGAAGGTCAAGAGCGCGGCTGCCCGGCCCCCGGCTCATCAGGGCCTGCAGGTTCTCCAGATGAACCTCGCCAAGAGACCGGGCGTCGCCCGCAACGATGGCGTACGCCCTCCGCAAGGCATGGTGCTGCAGCGCCGGGTGCAGGCTGCTGAATTCGTCAGCGTTCAGGCGTACCCGCACTATCGAATTCCTGGGCGATAGTGGGCCAGTGGCGGTCCAACTCTCCCTCGATGAAATCCGCCTCGTTGGCAGCGGCGCGTGAGAGCCGGAGCAAAGCATCGCGTACTCGAGGGTTGTAGTCCCGCGAAAGGCGCGGCATCAGGTCAAGACGGACTTTGTTGCGTGTGAAGCGCCACATGTAGTTGCCTGAGTCCTGACGGTAGGTCTGACCCAGTTCGCGGCAGTAAGCAGCCGTATCTGCCTTCGCGACTCCCAGCAGCGGGCGAAACAACAATGGACCCTTCTCCGGTTGCGGCCAGGGCCATTCAACCAGCTCAACCATGCCCCGCAGCCCGTGAAGTCCAGAGCCGCGGAGAATATGCATCAATACAGTCTCAGCCTGGTCGTCCGTCGTATGTCCCAACGCAACTGCAGCAGCCCCCGTCGCTGAGGCAACCTGCGACAGGAATGAGTAGCGCATCTCGCGGGCGGCCTGTTCAAACGAGGAGATGCCCCGAGCGCGCTGATAAGCGATGGGATCCTGCTTGTCGATGCTGCAAGGGAGGCCCAATCGATCCGCGAGTTGCTGCACGAAAGCGGCATCGTGATCGGCCTCAGCGCCCCGAAAGTCGTGATTCAGGTGGGCAACGTGCAGGGCAATATCGTGAGCGGTTCGCAGGCGGTGGAGGAAGCGAAGGAGCGCTGTGGAGTCGGGGCCGCCGGAGCAGGCAACAACCAGAATGGTGCCAGCGCGGGTGAATCCGGCGCGCTGCAGGCTGTCGACGACACTCCGCTCGAGCCGGGACAGTGTGGACATGCGGAAATCTACCGGTTGTCGATCGAAAGGTGGCTGTTGCAGTTGTAGGTGATTAGCCGTCGGCCGTTGTCGTCGCTGTCAAAGGTGCACAATGAACCGAGGCCCAGGGACATTCGATGAAAGTTGAAGAGCGGAATATCCAATATGGAGCTGATGATGGTCCGAATGGTGAAGTTGTGGGAAACAACCACCACTCCGGGAACACCGGGATGGGCCCCCTCAATGTCCAATATTACCTGCCACGCGCGCTCCTGGAGCTGGGAAAGCGTCTCGCCGTTGGGCATTTCGACTTCATCCGGGTTACGCCGCCAAGTGCTGTAGACATCCGGCCATCCCGCCCGCATTTCCGTTCCGGTTACCCCCTCGAGGTCGCCGAGGCTGAGTTCCCGCAAACCGGGGTCGGTCACCACCGGAGCCCCCGTAACCTTGCGCACCTCTTCGGCCACCTGCACGGTTCGCGTCAGGGTGCTGGCATAGATGACAGCATGGTCCCACTGAAGAGCGGCGCGGGCTGAATCTCGGGCTTGCGAAAACCCCCGCTCATTCAGGGAAACGTCGGTCAGCCCTTGAAACTTGCCCAGTTTGTTCCACTCGGTTTCTCCATGCCTGAGAAGGTAAAACCTCACTCTCGCTCCCCGGCAACCCCCACGGGAGTCCGCACCAAATCTCAGCTCGTCGATGCGCACACCGTCCATGCCCTTCACAGTTATGGTCAGATCACCATATTCTAGGCTGTCTTCTATATCGGGTATTCGCCCCAGCTGATCCAGCACGAATCCCGCCATCGTCTGGTAGTCTCCCTCCGGGATTTCCAGACCCAGTTCGTCGTTAATTTCCGAAACACTGGCAGCGGCATCGACCCGATATGTTTCCTCTCCCAGGGGAACAATAATTTCCTCGGGCTCTGGACCTTCGTCGCCAACCTGGCCCACTATAACTTCCAGAAGCTGCTTAATAGTGGCCAGTCCCGCAATGCCACCAAACTCATCAAACGTCAGAACTACGGTGTGGCGACCCTGTTGCATCTCGGCAAATGTATCGCTCACGTTCTTGGTTTCCGGGACCATGTAAGCATCTCGCAACAGCGTTGTAACGTCGTCATTCGGCTTGATCTGGTCTGAACTTAGTGCCGTGAGAACATCTTTTACCGACAGGACCCCCAGCACGTTTTCCGTGGATCCTTCATACACCGGAAACCGCGTATGGCTGTATTGGCGATAAATGTCTAGAAATTCAGTGAGTGTCGCACCCTTTTCCAGCCAGACAATTTCCGGCCGGGGCGTCGTTACCTCACGCATCTGACGGTCGCCAAACCTGAACACCTTTTCCAGCAGTTCGGCCCTCATCCGCCTCTACTGCTCCGGTCTGGGCCCCCGCCGCGATCAGAGTGCGGATCTCCTCTTCACTCACCAGGCGAGAAGTATCGGAGACTCCCAAAGCCTTTGCTGCTCACTGTGATGATGCCCTGTAGCACCGAAACGACTGGCGAAAGCGCCGAACCAACAATGGTCAGAGGCCTGGACGCGAAGAAGGCGACTCCCTCGGAACGCCGCCACGCAATAGTCTTGGGCAAGGTTTCGCAGAATATGAGCAGTATCAGCGTGATGGCGACTGTGGAGACCAGGGCCGAAATTAACGGGTCTCCAATTATCTCCACGACAAGTATGGTGGTTAAAGCAGCGGCAGCAGTGTTGACCAGGTTGTTACTGAGAAGTACCGTGGCGAGAAATCGCTCGGGGCGCTGTATGAGCCGGGACACTCGCCCCGCTCCTGACTTACCGGTCTTGACCAAGTGGAGCAGGCGCGCCCTGGGCAGGGCAATGAACGCCGTTTCAGATGCCGAGAAGAAGGCTGAAAGAATCAGGAATATGGCAAGTATGCCCCATCTCCATGAGTCTCCGGCGTCCATATTTTAGTGTCCCCTCCAGATTCACGATGAATAATTACGAAACGTAGTCCATATTGTAATCCGATGATAGCATCGGCATGCAGGGGTGTAAAGTTGAACCGCTTCTAGGTCATTTTGTATACAAAGAGCCGCAACTTGGTAGTGACTTATTGTTTGGCGGTGACTTATTGTAAAGTTGAAAGGCAGGACACGAGAGCATTAAACCCGGGTAATACAAACGCAGGTAGTCATTAAAATGACGTTGAAGATTCTTGGCATTGAGACCTCGTGCGACGAAACTGCGGCCGGCGTGGTCGAAAACGGACGCATACTGCGTTCCAATATTATTCCTCGCAGGCCAATTTGCATTCCCAGTATGGGGGTGTTGTACCTGAGCTGGCATCCCGGCAGCACGTGCGCGACCTGACTCCCGTCCTCGAGCAGTCCGTGGCATCATACGGTCTGGGACTGGAGGATATGGACGTCGTGGCGGCTACCTACGGCCCCGGGCTGGCAGGGTCGCTCATCACAGGCCTCAATGCGGCCAAGGCGATCGCCTACACGCTTGGGAAGCCTCTGATTGGCGTCAATCATCTTGAGGCTCACATATATGCCGCCTGGCTGACACCGTCCAACCCCGCCGAAGACCCGGGGTTCCCCTTGGCATGCCTCGTGGCCTCCGGCGGCCACACCGACTTGATCCTGATGGAGGGACACGGCGACTACCGGCTCATCGGCCGCACCCGCGACGACGCTGCCGGCGAGGCCTTCGACAAGGCCGCCCGCATACTTGGCCTGGGATTCCCAGGCGGGCCGGAAATCCAGCGTGTGTCCCAGGGTGCCACCGGAGAGGTGTCGCTACCGCGGGCCTGGATGCGGGATACTCACGATTTCAGCTTCAGCGGTCTCAAGACCGCCCTCTTGCACATGGCGCAGGACCGCGGCGTCTACCTCGCCGACACCGAACAACCGCCGGACGATGCCGCGATCGCCGGGGTGGTTCGAGAGCTGGCCGCCGCCTTCCAGGAATCAGTGGTCGACGTCGTATCCAGCAAGTTGGTGGACATGGCCAGGAAATACCGGGTCAAGGGCCTAGTGCTCGGAGGGGGCGTCACTGCCAACGCCCGGCTGAGAGAGGAGATAGTCCGGCGTTCTCCCTTGCCGGTAATCATACCCCCCACCGGTGCTCTGCACCGACAACGGGGCCATGGTCGCCGCCTGCGCCTACTACCAGCACCAGCGCGGGGAGCAGTGGCCCATGGAGCTGGACGTGGATCCGGGGCTCCCGCTCGGCTGAATCAACTTGGGGTGCCGACTCAGCAAACCAGCGTGGGAAGCCTACCCATTAGCCTGGGCCCGATCGGTCGAGTTGCTGTCTCCCGGCTCAGGAATTGTCTTCCTCCGCGGCGACTGTGCAAGGTCTACGAGGTCGTAAACTTGTTGCACATCCAGTGAACTCCGGAACGGGAAGGCGATCTCCATTCCTTCACCGTGGAAAATCAGCGCGCCAGCGGGCCGGGTGAAGTAGTTGGACGCCAGGATAAACACCCCCGCCAGGACTATCAGCAAGGCGATCAGGGGAGCGATATCAATGTTCAACACGGGAACATTGGGCCCGCTGACCTGTCCAGCAAGCCAGTAGCCCACAATGAGGTACAGGACCGCGCCCCCTACCATGATCATCAGACCTTGGGCAATGGCCGTCCAATTGCGCTGTCCAGTGCGAACCGAGCACTGGGCAATCTCCGACGACATCGCCATGTGCGTGTCCCTGTAGCCTTCGACGCCCCTGAATGCGATCAATCGCTGGTTCGTCAATATCAGGGCCTGCCCCGTACGAGGCACACTGTCCACCAGCCCTTCATTGGGCAGGAACACCCTGGAAATTTCCTCGCCCCTGCCGAGCGGCACACCACGAATGCGGAAAGGCGAAGCCTCTACCGCCTCAAGCTCGTCAGCCGTCGTTTCCTCTCGGGCTGTTTCAGGTTGGCTCTCCAGTTTCTTCAGTTGCTCGAGACTCTGGATGCTGACCATGATGGCCGCCTCGAAATCCGGAGGCGCAATCTCTCGAATATCCACATCTGTGGCTTCCCCGTCACTCCATTGTGCAAACAGAAACTCCGAGGGAGCGGAGGGCGAGGCGGGGTGAGAGCGGCTTCATTGTCTCCGTCAACACTGAGGGTGGACGACACCAAGAGCCACTGGGACTCCAGGAATTCAGTGGGCGCGGACGGAGGCGGAGGAGTGATTGGAGCGGGAACCTGGGAGCAGGCTAATTCATGTGCATCGTGACCGGCTGAATTTTCGCTCTGCCCGGCCTCGAGTTGGCTGGATGTCTCTTTGTTGCCTGTCATCTGGAATAACTGCAAGACCCGTCGGTTTCCATACTAGCACACGCACTGGCGCATCGTATTAGCGGGGCAGGAACTGACTCGGAGGGCAACATTCCCGTCTCGCCTCTTCGCCGATCCGCCCCTGATTCCTGACAGAAGCCCCTTGCCAAGCCTCATGACACTCATCTACCATCGAATACGGCGGACCCAAAGGGCCGCGATTCCGGCACCGCGACCGACGCATCGAGCAGTTCCATGCCAATTTCCGACTCCCCGGTCAACCCCGGACCCTGGCTCCTCTCCAGCATCCTCGAGGGCCCGGAAATGCGCAGATTCGCACAAAAATGCACACATCTGACCCCCTTTGACCTGCCCAATGCCAGCTTGCGGGGCCCCAACAATTCCGCCCACTGTCATCATGCCCGGCGATCTCAAGTCCAGGGACATGCTCCCATGGACGCTCCAAGCCAAGGCCTACTGCCGAAATGCCGATTCTACTACTCGAGGAGAAATGAAACGCAACCACGACCAAATGGGGTGTTGACAGTGGATATTGAGTATGCTAATTTCTTAAAAAGGCTGAGATGGAGACGAGTAGGTCAGGACTCCGTGCATAGCGAGCCTGGAACGGTGGAAGCAGGCGCATCGGTACTGATCGAAAATCCCTCCGGAGCTGTCGGCTGAAAGTCCTTGGAGATCCGGGGATCGAGTAGGCATGGCCGGGGGTTCGTCGCCCGTTAGCAACGACGGGGCATGATAGTGCCTGCAAGAGAGGTCCCGACAATGTCGGGGCAAATAGGGTGGTACCGCGGGAATATTGAAGTCCCGTCCCTATCTGGGGGCGGGTTTTTCTATTGCCGGGCGGCGGACCGTAGCAGCAGAGCGCCAGACAAGCCCGGAAGAACCCTTATCTGGCACGGAAGGCCAGAACTAACGGAGGCGCTGCTTTGTTGGCCAACGAGAAAGTCAAGGGCGCGGAAATCATCTGCCAGAGCCTCATCCGGGAGGGAGTCGAAGTCCTGTTCGGGCACCCCGGGGGAGCCATCCTCCCTTTCTATGACGCCCTGTGGGGGTATCCCGAGCTACGCCACATCCTGGTGCGCCACGAGCAGGCCGCGGCCCACGCCGCCGACGGCTACTCGCGGGTCAGCGGCAAGGTGGGCGTATGCGTCGCCACCTCCGGGCCGGGCGCAACTAACCTGGTCACCGGCATCATGGGCGCAAAGGCCGACTCGGTGCCGCTAATCGCCATCACCGGGCAGGTGGCACGGACCGCCCTCGGTTCCGAGGCCTTCCAGGAGTGCGACATCTGCTCCATCACCGCCACCTGCACCAAGAAGAGCTTCATGGTTATGTCGGCCAAGGACCCTGGCTCCCACCATCCGCGAGGCCTTCGTCATCGCGCAGGAGGGGCGCCCCGGTCCAGTGCTCATTGACATCCCCCGCGACGTTCAGCTGGAGATGGTCGAACCGGACTTCCCGGAAGTCACTCCGCTGCAGATGCCTGATCTCAGCGAGGAAACCAGAGAACAGCTCCACGCGGCGGCTCGCCTGATCAACGAGGCCGAGCGCCCTCTGATCATTGCCGGCCACGGAGTGCTGGCATCCGGTGGGACCGCACAGTTGCAGGCTCTTGCCGAGACGACGGGCATTCCCGTCATCACTACTCTGCTGGGGTTGAGCAGCTTTCCAACCGGCCATCCCCTGAGCATGGGAATGCTGGGGATGCACGGAATGTACTGGGCCAACATCGCCGTCGACGAGGCCGACCTGATTATCGGCTTGGGCATGCGCTTCGACGACCGCGTTACCGGCAGGGTCGCCACCTTCGCCCCTCACGCCCGTATCATCCACGTCGACATCGAGCCTACCCAGATCGGACGGAACGTGCCGGTGGAGGTCTCCCTCCCCGGCGACGCGAAGGCCGTGATGCACGCGTTGACTCCCATGGTCAGGAACACGCCGCGTCCCGACTGGATGGAACGCATCGGCAGGTTGCGCCGGGAGCACCCGTCCCTGGCCATTCCGCATTCCGACAGCCTGCAGACCCAGCACGTCCTGTCTACGTTGAACGACGTCCTGCGGGACGACCCCGGCGCAACGGTTGTCACCGGCGTCGGACAGCACCAGATGTGGGCCGCTCAGTTCCTGGGATTCAACCAGGCCAACACGTTCGTGTCGTCTGGTGGTCAGGGCGCCATGGGGTTCGAGGTGCCCGCTGCCCTCGGCATTCAGGCCGGTCGGCCCGGTACCACCGTCTGGAGCATCGCCGGCGACGGTGGATTCCAGATGACTCTTCAGGAACTGGTAACGGCGGTGGAAGAACATCTGCCCGTGAAAATCGCCCTCATCAACAACGGCCACCTCGGAATGGTGCGACAATGGCAGGAAATGTACTTCGACAACCACCTTAAGGCCGTTCCGGTGCCGGGACCGGACTACATCAAGCTCGCCGAGGCCTATGGCGTGGGCGCGGTCAGGGTGTCTGAGCAGGAGGACGTTCTGGCGGCCCTGAAGCAGGCAAAAGCCTACGACGGCCCGTTCCTAATAGAATTCGTGGTGGACCAGGCGGCCAACGTCTACCCGATGGTGCCACCGGGCGGCTCCCTCGCCGACACTATCGAAGACCCGGCAATCGTCGTCTGATTGGACCTCTGCACTTTCCGCGCTTGAATTTCTTCGGAGATGACTATGGATAAGGTTACGATTCAGGAAGCATCCCGCCGCCTGAACGTTTCGCAGCGGGACGTTCGCGAATATATCCGCAGGGGCACCCTGCAGGCGGAGCGCGACCCGGATTCATCGACCGGCCGTTGGCTGGTCGAGCTCCCCGGCGACGGCTGGGAAGATGATTTCAAGGCCTTTCTTAACAATATGGCGGCAGCCCAGACGCCTTGGTGGTGGGCCTTCGACAACAAGATCGGAAAGGTGCACTACCTGCTGCAGGTTGGCATCGAGGAGATCATGCCCGACTTCCTCTGCGGACTGCGGGGAGAGAACCTGTATTCCTCCGACGGGCATACGGCAGACCAGCGCTGCCCCGAGTGCCTCCAGGCTGCCGTTAGCCAGAAACTCCCGCTCTGGGACGACTAGGCCCCGCGAATTTCAGTCCGAACTATCCCTCAGTCGCCATTTACCGCAATGACAAGGGGCTACCTGTATGGTAGCCCCAACGGTTTGAGATCCATCAAATTGCGGGCGGGTGCCGACTAGCCTCCGCCGCCCGCCATGCTAACCCCAGGCTCCGTCATACCCTCGGGGTTGAGGAGCGTGTCCAGTTCTTCATCGGACAGTTCGGTCTTTTCCTTGGCCATCTCGCGGATGGTCATTCCCCTGGCCGCCGCCTCCTTGGCGATGGACGCAGCCGCGTCGTACCCGATGGCTGGCGCCAGGGCCGTACCCAGCATCAGGCCCTTCTCCACCATGTCCGGGCCCACCGTCGTGGCCTCAATGCCCTCGACGCACTGGTCGGCGAAGTTGTTGGCCGAGGCCGCCAGCAGCGAAATCGATTCCAGTATGTTATGCGCCGCCACTGGCATCATGGTGTTCAGCTCGAAGTAGCCTCCCTGCCCCGCCAGGGTAACCGAGGCGTCGTTGCCCACCACTTGGGCCACAACTTGGACCACCGATTCAGCGATAACCGGGTTGATCTTTCCTGGCATTATCGAACTGCCCGGCTGCACCTCCGGCAGCGCGATCTCGCCCAGGCCGGCGCGGGGCCCGGACGCGATGAAGCGTATGTCGTTGGCTATCTTGTGCAGGCTGATCGCCACCGTCTTCAGCTCACCGCTGGCTTCCACCAGGGCGTCCAACGACGCTTGGGCTTGGAAATGATTCTCGGTCTCTCGGATTTCCACCCCGCTCACCTCTGAGACAAAGGCGCAGGTGCGAGCCGAGAACTCCGGGTGAGTGTTGACCCCCGTGCCGACCGCCGTTCCGCCCAGCGCCACCTCGGCCAGTGCCTCCTGCGCCCTCCGCATGCGCTGGATGCTGTAGCGTGCCTGTCCGGCATAGCCCAGGAACTCCTGGCCCAACCGCACAGGAGTTGCGTCCTGCAGGTGGGTGCGGCCCGTCTTGACGATGGGCCAGAACTCCTCCGACTTCTTTTCAAGCTCAGTCGCAAGATTATCCAGGCCCGGAATCAGGTCTTCGTTTATCGCCAGCAATGCAGCGAGGTGGATCGAGGTGGGGATGACGTCGTTGGACGACTGGCCCATATTTACGTGGTCATTGGGGTGCACCAGCCGTGACCCCAGGTCTCCACCCAGCAGTTGGCTGGCTCGGTTGGCGATCACCTCGTTGGCGTTGGTGTTGGTGGACGTCCCCGAGCCCGTCTGAAATATATCCAGCACAAAGTGGCGGTCCAGCTGCCCGTCGATCACTTCCTGGGCCGCCGCAACAATGGCATTGCCGATTCGTTCGTCCACCAAGCCGAGCGACATGTTGCCGCGCGCCGCCGACTGCTTGATCAGGCCCAGGGCCCGGATGAATGTGCGCGGGAAACGCAGTCCGCTGATGGGAAAGTTCAACACGGCGCGCATGGTGGAGGCGCCATAGAGGGCATCGGCAGGTACCTCCATTTCGCCCATGGAATCGCGTTCGATTCTTACGTTGGGGCTGGCGGTCATGGCGGAGAATCCTCCAAGCAAATTTTGGCATAGGATACCACGACAACGGTCTGAACGAAGCGAGCCGGACAACCCTGGCAGGGCAATCGCGTTTTGATGACATTTGCCCCTTCCCAAGCCTCATGAAGCACCCTTACCATAAACACCATGAACGCTGTGCATGTTCCCCAATATTTGCCCGTCCCAACACTATGGAGGCGCCGTCGACCGGCCGGCCGGCCAAACCTGGTGGGACAAAATGGGACAGAATGGAGCGGGAATCTGAATTTTTGGGTGGGCGCGGCCAAATTCGTAGCTGGCGGACAGCGAAAAACAGGAAAATGGGACAGGAAAATGGGACAGGATGGGACAAAATGGGAATCGAGACCCGATTTTCTGTCCCAATGTTCCCAAGCCACAGCCCGAAGTATGCACCAACCAGCCGGTGTGTCCGCAGAATTTGAAGATTCAGCCTTCGTTAAGTGTCAGGCTCGGCGTTGCTTGGCCATTGTTGGGGCAATTCGCACAGACTGCCAGACCCGCTTCGTAGTCCAATCTCGGGTAATCTCCTGCCAGGCCCGGTAGCTCTCAGGGCAATCGCGTCTTAAACGCCGGAGGCCCTATAAGTCGTTATGCCCCCGAAGTCGTCATTCCCGCGCAGGCGGGAATCCAAACCCCCGTCTACCCTCGCACCCGGAACCGAAGGAGGCACTGCCACTCCCATCTCCACCGCCATTCAGACCAATTTTGTCTGCTGAGTAATAAGACGCGATTGCCCTGTTAGGTGGCATTTTCCATACAAGCATTATCCTGGGCCGTGATACAATGACCCCAGTTTCATCGTGAGGGAGTTGCTGACTTGGTCGCCGACGTACGAGTTCGATTCGCCCCCAGTCCCACGGGGCAACCCCACATCGGCAACATCCGCACCGCCCTCTTCAATTGGCTCTTTGCCCGTCACCACGGCGGAAAGTTCATTGTCCGCATTGAGGACACCGATCAGACCCGTTTCGTTGACGGTGCCGTCGAAGCCGTTCTCGACGGACTGCGCTGGTTGGATATCGACTGGGACGAGGGCCCGGAAGTACAAGGGCCCCACGCCCCTTACGAGCAGTCCAACCGGTTGGAGATTTACCAGCGTCTGTCTGAGCAACTGCTGGACCAAGGAAACGCCTACCACTGCTACTGCAGCCGCGAGGGACTGGAACAGCTACGGCGCACTAACCGCGAGTCCGGGTCATACTCCGGCGATGGTTGCAGGTGCCGAAGCTTGGGAAAGGCCGGGGCAGTTGGCCAGCCAGTAGACGACACTGATCGAGTCATACGCTTCGCCATGCCCGAGTCCGGCATGACTCAGGTTCACGACCTGATACGCGGCGACGTTGAATGGCGGAACGAATTGCAGGAGGACTTCGTAATTCTGAAGTCCGACGGCTTCCCCACCTACCACCTCGCTGTCGTGGCTGACGACCATATTATGGAAATCAGCCATGTGATGCGGGCTGAAGAGTGGCTTCCCAGCACGCCTCGGCACCTGCAGCTCTACAAGGCCTTCGGTTACGAGCCGCCCGAGTTCGCCCACCTGCCGATGATCACCGGCCCCGACCGCGCTAAGCTGTCCAAGCGCCACGGGGCGACCGCCATCGGGGAATACCGTGAGCAGGGCTACCTGCCGGAAGCGCTCCTCAACTTTATGGTCCTTCTGGGTTGGTCTCTTGACGGCAATACCGAGGTTGTGCCCCTGCAGGACATCATCGACAACTTTACGCTGGACCGGATCACCAAGTCCGCTGCCATATTCGATCAGGACAAGCTGCTATGGATGAACGGCGTCTACATCCGCGACATCCGCGCTGATGACTTGGCGGAGCGGATGGCGGCCTACATCCCACGAAAGCTGGAAGACGAGGAACAGGACTACCTCACCGACATCGCGCCGCTGGTACAGGAACGCCTGAAGAGGCTGGACGAGTCCGACGACACAACCGCCTACTTCTTCGGCGAGTTGGCCCCGGACTACGACCCAACGATTCTGGTGCAGAAGGGCATGGACGCTGAAGGAACCCTGCACGCGGTGAGGGCAACAGTCGATGCCCTGGCAGTCAGCACGTCGGACGACGACTTCGGCCACGAGAAGCTCGAATCTCTGCTGGGGGATGTCGGATCCGGCCTTTCCTTGTCCCGCAGGCAATTTTTTGGCCTGTTGCGTACCGCGGCAACTGGACGAAACGTATCGCCACCATTGTTCGAAACCATGGAGGTCATGGGGCGCGACCGTGTCCTGACCCGCCTGGCCCAGGCAGCACAGAAGCTGGCCGCAGCCTAGCAACCCGATTGCCGGCGACACCGCACCAGACAGCATCCGGCCACCAATCTGGCCTGGCATACCTTACATTTTTTTCGGAAGACCAAGAATGACGCAAGCGGCTGAGTCTGATCCCACCACCGGCCATGATTTCATCCGAACCATAGTCGCCGAAGACAACCGCACCGGCAAATTCGGCGGACATGTTGTTACCCGCTTTCCTCCTGAACCAAACGGCTATCTGCACATCGGCCATGCCAAGTCCGCCTGCCTCAACTTCGGCCTCGCTGCCGAAAACGGCGGGCACTGCAACATGCGCTTCGATGACACCAATCCAACCCGCGAGGACGTGGAGTACGTCAACTCCATCCTCCGGGACATTCGATGGCTGGGCTGGGACTGGGGAGATAATCTGTACTATGCTTCGGACTATTTCCTGCAGCTGTACGAGATGGCCGTTGACCTCATCCGGAAGGGCAAGGCTTATGTGGACGACCTGTCCTTCGACGAGATTCGCGAGTACCGCGGTACGCTGACAGAGCCGGGACGCAAAAGCCCCTACCGCGACCGCACCGTGGGAGAGAACCTCGACCTGTTCCAGCGAATGCGCGACGGGGAATTTGATGAGGGCAGCCGGGTGCTGCGGGCCAGGATTGACATGACCTCACCCAACCTCAACCTTCGCGACCCGGTGCTTTATCGCATCTTGAAGGCATCGCACCACAGGACGGGCGACGACTGGGTCATTTACCCAATGTACGACTTCGCCCACGGGCAGTCTGATTCCATCGAGGGCGTGACCCACTCAATATGTACGCTGGAATTCGAGGGGCACCGTGCCCTTTATGACTGGTGCCTGGACGAGTTGGACATCTATCACCCGCAGCAGATCGAGTTCGCCCGCCTGAACCTCACCTATACCGTGCTCAGCAAGCGCCGCCTGATCCAGCTGGTGGAAGGCGGTTACGTCAACGGGTGGGACGATCCGCGAATGCCCACCCTCTCCGGCCTGCGAAGGCGTGGCTACACCTCTGAGGCCATCCGCGACTTCTGCGAGCGCATCGGTGTGGCCAAACGCGACACTTGGACAGACATAGCACTTCTGGAACATTCGATCAGAGAAGACCTGAACCGCCGTGCCCCACGAGTAATGGCCGTCCTGGACCCCGTGAAGCTGGTCATTGAGAACTATCCAGACGGACAGGTCGAATTCGTCGAGTCGGAGATCAACCCGGAGGATGCCAGCGCTGGCAACCGCAAGCTGCCCTTCACCAGAACCCTGTACATCGAGCGGGACGACTTCGCCGAGGACCCGCCGCGCGGGTTCTACCGCCTCTCGCCAGGACGGGAAGTCCGGCTGAAGGATGCCTTCTACGTTACCTGCACCGGCGTCGTGAAGGACGAGTCCACTGGAGAGATTGTGGAAATCCGGTGCACCTACGACCCGGAGACCCGCGGCGGAACTTCCTCCGACGGCCGGAGGGTTCGTGGCACGTCCCACTGGGTGTCAACGGAGCACGCCCTAGACGCCGAAGTGCGAATCTACGATCATCTCTTCCTTCAGGAGGACCCCGGCGACTTGCCGGAAGGCGGCGAGTTCACCGACAACCTCAACCCAGGCTCGCTGCGGGCCATCACGGCCAAGGTCGAGCCATTGCTGGCCGAGGCAAGGCCAGGCGAGCGTTTCCAATTCCTCCGAACGGGCTACTTCTGCGCCGACCTGGATTCCACTCCTGCGGCACTGGTCTTCAACCGCACCGTGGCCCTTCGCGACTCCTGGGCCCGGCGGCGTCAGGGATAGGCCATAACGGTCTCGAGTTCCGTGAGCTCAGCGCGAGGCGATCAAAAAGAGTAAGGGCGGGAATATCAACCCGCCCTTACTCCATTGCTTCAACTGCGAATGCAACTGCGTCAGTCCGCCGCCACTCCCGCTTGAACAGTCTGGTATCGCACTGAGTATTTCTTCTCGTTGATGGTGTACGCTGCGATGGAAGCGGGTACCAGCAGTGATCCGGCAAGGGCGAAGGGAAGGAGATAGGAGCCCGTCCAGTCATAAAGCAGTCCCGCCAATATGATGCTGACGAAGGCGCCGACCTGGTGGCAGAGGAATGAAATTCCCGAAATAGTAGCGAGCGCCCGCAACCCATATACCTCAGCGGTCAGCGACGTTGTAATTGGAACGCTGGCAATCCAGGAAAAGCCCGCGAGAATGGCGAAGAACCAGAGGCTCGCCACTCCCGGCGACCCTATAAAGGGAATGGTGAATTTGTCCACACGGAAGGGCCCCGAAGGGTCTGCCGCCGCGCTGACGCCGCCGTAGCCAACCTCGCCTCCCCCCGGAAAAATCGCGTCTATTGATAACAAGCCGCCAATCAATACCAGGTAGGCAATACCTCGCACGGCGTAGACCGTCCCCAGCACGTTCTTGCGTCCAAAGCGATCGGCGAGCCACCCACCGCCTATGGCACCCATCACGTTCAGTCCCGTAAGGATGCCAAAGATCAACCCAGCCATCCTGAGAGAAACTCCCACCTGTTCCTGGGCGTACGGCACAAAGTGGATGGATATGATGCCTACCGTCACGCCGCAAACAGTGTAGGCCGCGGAGAGGTTCCAGATGGGCGGTGAGCGGAAAGACTGCCGCCACTGGTCCACCTCGAACATACCCCGCCGCCGAGCCGGAGGGGCTGCAGTTCCGTCCGTCGGCGGCTCCGGGTCTCCGTCGGGCAACAGACCCATCTGGGCCGGGCTGTTACGAATGAACAAGAACCCCAAAGGCAGGGCCAAAAAAATTACGATGGCACCCAAGGCAATCCACGAAGCCCTCCAGCTGAACAGTTCTACCAGATAAGCGCTGAAGGGAATCAATATCAGGCCGCCAATGGACGTGCCGGAAGCCACCAGCCCCAGGACGAAGGTCCGACGCTTTACGAACCAGCGGGCCAGCAGCGGCCCAAGGGTGCCGATGGAGGCGCCGCTCATCGCTGTAGACAGCACGAAACTGAACAGGAATACCAGGAAGAGGTAGTGGAAGGTCAGGCTCAATCCTGCGGTTGCAAGCCCCGCAATCAACAGGCTGATCAGGACGACTTTGCGGGAGTTGAATTTGTCGAACAGATGTCCTATAAACGGCTGAGTGACTCCGTTCATCAGCCAGCCTATTCCGGCGGCTACGGAGATAGTGGTCCGGTTCCACTCAAACTCCTCGCTCATCGGGAGAACGAAGACCCCAAAACCGTTGCGGGCTCCCGTGGTCACCGCAGCGATGAACATGGCGGAAACTACCACGTACCAGCCGTAATAGGTCCTCTTGGGCCGCGGAACTCCGGCGTCGACTTGCCTTACTGCCTGACCGTCTTGAGCCATCCTGATCCCTAATTGCCGTCCCAGCGATAGACTTGAATCCGGTGGCGGCAGCTGTCTACCACCAGTACGTTACCGTTGGCGTCAATTTTAACAGCCGTGGGCCCCCAGAATAACTTCTCCACATTTGCCGATTCCTCCCTGTCATGTCGTTCCGGGGGATTCACCAGAGGCGACAGGTTAGATTCCAACCGCAATGCCCCCTCTTCCGGGTTGGCCAGGAAGTACTCGTTGGCCCAAGTGGGGGTCTGCGACTCACCGCGCAGGGTGGCCAGCAACGCGCCGTCCGGGGACAACACACGCACGCGTTCATTGCCCCAATCGGCGACGTAGATGTTGCCATGTCCTCCCACACACAGCCCGGCCGGATGGCTGATGCGGTCGCCTTCAGGTTGCGTAGTCCCGGGTTGAGGAAGCTGATCCATAAAATCCCCACCCGGAGTGAATTTCTGTATTCGGTGATTGCCCCAGTCAGACACGTAGACATAGCCGTCGCAGTCCAACGCAATGCCCCAGGGCGTATTGAACTGGCCCTCGGCATTGCCCAATTCGCCCCAAGTTTCTATAAACTGCCCACCGACAGTGAATTTCTGTATCCTGTGGTTGCCACTGTCGGAGATCAGCAGGTTATCGTCAGCATCACGCGCGATGTAGGAGGGGTGATCGATTTGACCTGGGCCCGCACCGGGTTCTCCCCAAACTCCCAGCAATTCGCCGTATGTGGAGAAAACGGTGATGCGGTTCAGGGCCTCATCAGCGACATAGATCCGGTCCTGGCTATCCAAGGCGAGGGAACTGGGCCACCAGAATTCACCGGGCCCAGTGCCTCCAGTTCCGAATTCCCCCAGGAATTCCTCGTCTACAGTGCACATGGAGACGCGCTTGTAGGGCAGCCGGATGGGTAACTCAGGCCCGGCCCGGTTCAGCACGTACATTGCGCCTTGAGAGTCCAGCGCGACGTCCACCGGGTTCTGGAACCCCCTGCCCTGGTTGGACAGAGAACCGACGGTGTGGCTGTAGCGGATGGCTGCTGTGGTCGTCATGCTAGGAAATCACCCCAACGGCTACGGTAGAAAACACGGGGCCACGATGATCAGGAAATCTGGAATTCGCGGGTGGAGACAACCAACTGCAGCAGATCCGCCACGCGCTGCTCAATGCAGCCGGTGGAAATCTGCGGCTCGAAATGCAGATCGCCCCGTTCTGAAACAAACGATACCAGTTCCTCACGGGTGGGCTCTGCGACTTCCAAGCCTCCACAGAGGGTGAGGCAGGCGTCCACCAACTCATCAGGGGAATAAATGGAACCCTCGCTCCGGAGTCTGCGAATGACTGACTGGATGCCCGGCTGAGAGGGATCCCCCATCATTTGTGCCCCGGAATTGACCCGCTCCATCAAAGTGCCGGTATCTACCCACTCTGTGCCGGTGTGCCAGCCCTCAACCGTGGGGGGATTGAGAATTTCCTGCCCCATGAAATTGGCGTCCAATGCCAAATTCACTATGCCCCACTGTGGAGTGCTGAATGCTCCGGCCAAGTGCGCCACGCCAGCAACGACCTCGGCCGGACTCTTGACCTTACTGTATCGTACCTCTTCGGACCGGAAGAACTCCGACGTAAATATTGTCCGCATGGCAGACCGCACGTCTCCGCCAGTGCTTCGCAGATCCTCTGCGATGATCTGCGAGGCCGTTTCGTTGGGCTGGTCGGACACGAAGAACGCGTAAAGCTTGCCGGCTAGGAACCAGCTGCTGGCAGGATGCCCGCAAATTATGTCCAAGACGTCTTCGCCGTTGAACCGGCCCGTCTGGTTAAGGAACGTCTTGGGGCTGTCGTCGTGATCCTCGGGCCGGTACTCAAACTGCCAGTCGAGACGCCCGTGGGGCCAAATGGAGTCCCGGGATGCACGGACGCTCATATAGTCCTGGTTGGCTATAGTCCAACCGGTGAAGGCCCTAGCTGCGGCCTTGACGTCTGCCTCTGAATAGGTCCCGATACCCATGGAGAACAGTTCCAGCAATTCCCGGCCGTAGTTCTCATTGGGAGCGTCCTTGTGGTTATCCTTGTTGTCCAACCAGAAAATCATTGCCGGATCGCGGGACATCTCTGAGAGCAGGTTGCGAAAAGTCCCCAAACCGAGGCGGCGGAATGTGTTGGTCTGGTTCACCACTGCCTTGGCGTGGTTGAGTTTTCCGTACGCCGTTGCGAACAGGCCGTGCCAGAAGAGCGCGATCTTTTCCTCGAGAGGCCCCTGCGAGTTAATCATCCGGTAGAGCCAGTAGGACTGAGAACTTTCGATGAGCATGAGGCTGTTCTGGTCGACGTGATATCGACGAATGAGCGCGTCATCCCAGGTCGGCGCTTCCTCCGGGTGCAGGAGCCGCTCCACGGTAGCTTCATAGCCGTCCTCAATACAGCGCTCCAGCTCCTCGTAAGTAGCACCGAATCCAGCCCGACGCATCAAGTGGGCCATCAGCGCCATTTCTTCGCTGGCTTGTCCTCGGTGCACGGCACTCGTTTGGGTCATCGCCCGCTCCTTAGATCAACGAACCGAACAGTTCACGATGGCCAATTGACCTTTAGTTTTACCTAGTCGTGGAGACTGTCACTAGTCAGCTTACAATTGGCGGTAGTATAGCACCGAACCAACCCCAACGACTCTGCAAGACTCACCATCTCAACCCTCTAGACATATTAAGTTGACAGTTGCTCAATTTTGATTTAATTTTTAGAAATTAATTACTTCTTCGTTGAAGAGATTCTCGAATAGCCAGATTAATGACACTAGGGTCCAAAGCCTTAATTTCAATGATCGCGGGACGGGGTGATGTGAACGAATCGGATTCTCCCCTCCCAGCAGGCACCTCCCTAATTGGTGCACAAAATACACGCGGGAACACAGATAAAGGAGGTTTGATTTAGAGCATTTTCGGCAGGGTAACCCCTGGAGTAACCACAATTTCCGCAGGGCTTCGCAGTTTTCGGGAGTGCAGGTATTCATCCAACCGACGCAGTATTTTTAAAGTTCTTATTCCTGCTTTTCTGACAGGAAACCCCCTCACGACAGGCATTCCCACACGCTGCTCTTTCAGCCTTGGCGGGTTAGTAACGAAAACCTTGACAAACCAAGGTAGATTAGGGTTTGGGGTGGATTTAAATGTCTACAGACGTGAAAATAATCAGCGATGGAATGATGAAAGTCGACGGTGGTTCGATGTTTGGCCCTGTACCCAAGGTAGCTTGGGAAAACAGCGTTGTTACCGACAGGAAAAACCGAATGACGCTAGGCCTGAACTGCCTGCTGCTGCATTCAGCCGGACAAAACGTACTCATCGACACCGGCGTTGGTTCCAAGGATATGCACGCGGACAAGGAATCTCTCGGGCTGGTGCCAAGCAGGCTGTTACGGGGCCTCAAGTCTGTCGGCCTAGCACCCAAGGACATCAACGCAGTAGTTCTAACTCATCTTCACTTCGATCATTCGGGAGGTTGCACCCGGCTGGACCGGGCCGGAAACGTTGTGCCGACCTTCTCCAAGGCCAAGTATTATGTGCAAGAAAGTTGCTGGCACGAGGCCTGCAATCCCAACGAACGAGCCAACAATTCGCACCGTACTGACAACTTCCTGCCAATTGACGAGCGTGGCCAGCTTGAACTGCTGGACGGAGATAAAGAAATTCTTCCTGGTCTGAACGTCATCGTGACCGATGGCCATGCAAGGGGCCACCAGATGGTCATGTTCAACCACGGTGGCGAACGGGTCGTCTTTCTAGGCGACATTGTTCCCACGCCGCATCATCTGAACCTTGTAGCCATCTCCGCATTCGATAACTCGCCGGAGGTGACCCTGGAACAGAAGAGGGAACTGCTGTTCCGGGCCGAGCGGGAGGGCTGGCTGCTGGTTTTCTCCCACGGCCACGAAATTCGCTCGGGGTACCTGGAACGCCGCGGTGGCATGGGCTACCTGAGGGATGGTGGGCTGTAGCCGACCACTCTCCGGAACAATTCGACGGCACAGCACAGCCGCCCCGGTTTAGTTGAACCGGGGCGGCTGATTCATCTGCTGGAACAGACGAGAAACCTCGGCTACGCGGTCCTTCAGGCTATTACGTCTGCATCAACCCATTCACCATCCAGTTCGGTCAGAATCGCGTTGGTTATCTGGTTACCAAGGTCCGACTCATTTGCCGTACGGACCCTGACGTAGCTGTCTGTCAGGCCGGTCCAGCGTCCCGCTCTCGATGAATGCTCCCACAGAACTGACCGCACGCTTCCCAATTGCGACTTCCGAAATCGTCGATGAGAATCAGCCGCCAATGCGAGCATTTCACCCATTCGCTCGCGCTTTTCCTGCTCCAACAACTGCTCGCCAAAATGATAGGCGGAAGTCCCCGGTCTTGGTGAATAGGGAAACAAGTGAATGTCGGCAAATCGCATCGTATTCGCGAAATCCCGGCTGACGGCAAAATGGTCAGCACTCTCACCAGGAAACCCCACTATGATGTCGGTGGTAATCCCGGCGTCCGGCAACCTTGAACGCACCAAGGACACAGCGTCCGCAAACTCCGGTCTGCTGTATCGGCGACGCATCCGACGGAGAATTAAATCGCTCCCCACTCTGGAGCGGAATGTGGAAGTGCCTCATCAACCGCGGGTTATTCCAGAGTCCCAGGAGCCCCTCCGTGATTTCGTGGGCCTGCAGCGAGGAGACTCTCAGTCTTTCTATGCTGGTCTCTCCAAGTACTCGCTCCAGAAGACGAACGAGATCCCACCCAGGGATATCGAACCCGTAGGTTCCCAGCTGTGTTCCGGTAAGAGCAACTTCCCTGCAGCCCTCTGCAGCACGGCGATTTATCTCGGCAACTATCGTCTCAGATGGAATGCTGCGTTCCCGCCCGCGCACCTTAGGAACGATGCAATACGCACAGACCTGGTCGCACCCCTCCTGTATCTTCACCATTGCTCGGGTACGGCCTACTTCCCTGGTCCCAGGTTGGGCTGCTGGAACATTCTGCGCAGCCGGAACTTTCAGGGCCAAGCTGGCTGCAGCCACAAGGTCGGACTTGGCCGTATTGCCGACGACCAGGGAAACAGCGTCCATTTTCTCCAGTTCCGCGGGAGCACGCTGTGCATAGCAGCCGGTGGCAACAACCACGGCGTCAGGATTTCGTCGGCGAGAGGAGCGCAAGATCTGGCGCGCCTTGGAGTCAGCGGTTGCAGTGACAGTACAGGTATTCAATACGACCACATCAGCGGCCGATGACGGGCCCACCACCACGTAGCCAGCCTCGCGGAACTGGCGGGCCAGCGTCTGGCTGTCAGCCTGGTTGAGCTTGCACCCATGGGTGTGGATGGCTACCGTGCGCCGCTCAGCGGCCTCACTCCCGGACAACTCAACAGTAACCTGTTCGATTGAATCACCGGGCATGGCTTTCGGGGTCCGCTTCGTAAGGCAGGTCGTCTAGAGGGATCATGTCCCACAACCGTTCCACCGCCGCCGTTACATCCTCGAGAATCGAGATGAGATGCTGTGCGCCACCCCGGGATTCGCGAACGCGGTCAGCGGCATCGGCGAACCCGCTAAGACGGGTGAAGGCATCCCTTATGCGACGATCATTGTTTTCTCGCCCAAGTGCCTGCGCGTACTCCTCAACCGACTGGCGGCCGTCCAGTTCATCCCCACGAATTAGTGCGGCACTCTTGACTGCCAGCGTGACGCTGCCCCACAACAGTTCCTCGCAACGCAACCAGCGGGACTGTCGAGCCTCGTTCATGGCGTCGCGCAGCAGCCGGACACTCTGGCCGTTGTAGCGCGCGAGGCGCGCCCGTTGCTGCTGAGTTGGTTGGATCATCAGTTAGCCTGGATCAATTGTAACCCAAAGGCACATTATTGGTCGTGCGGAGGCAAAAGGAAAGGCGGCCCATCTTGAGATGGGCCGCCTTTGGCTGCACCACAAATGTGAACTAGTTTTCGGGCCAGCCTTCGGCAGAGGTTACGCCACTGTCCAAAGCAGCCGTCACCTTTTCTGCGGCTTCGTCCGACACCCATGACGTCCAAGAGTCTCGGTTATTTTCAAGCCAATAGATGGCTGTTTCCTCGGGTGTGGCGTCGTTTTCACTGCTCCACAGGAAAACTTTGTTGTAGGCGGGAACACCGAAGTCCCAATTTTGCAGGAACCCTACTACGTCACCAGCGCGGGGCAACAGGCTATTGTGGACTGCTATAAGCACGAATGAATCAGCAAAGTGGCACGCCTTGTCGGCAGCCCAACACTCATCGGAATAGGGTTCTTCCTCTAGGAGCACCAAATCAAGCTGAATCGCTGGATCACCGGTGCCCCACATGTAGCCGAGCCACGGCTCCTGCCTTTCGTAAGAACCGAAGATCTCGGAAAACATCGCGTCCTGAGAACCTGGCTTAATTACGTGCAAGTAATCAGACAATCCGTACGTTTCGATCTGTTCGTCGTTGACCAACTCGCAGGACCAACCGGGGACGCAGGCTACCAGCCGGGCTTTGCCGCGGCTTTCGTCTGTCGCGAACAGTTCCTGAAATTCTGGCTTCTTCAAGTCTTCGGGGGTTTTCAGCTAGGGAATACCATGCTCGCGAAAAAAAAACTAGTATTAAGAGGGATAAACGAAAGTGCTTTGCCAGTCACCGACCAGGCTGGTGCCGACGGACACTACCGTTCCCTGTTCCAAAGCCTCGTTCCAGCCAATCTCCTGGTTCGGCAACCAGATTTCCATTGTGACATGAGTAATCGCCTTTCCTCAGGCCCTCAAACAGAGGCAGAGTACCGCCGAACACCAAATCGGTGGGGTAGCCATAACCGTGCTCGACGATGTACTGGGCGCAACTATCGATTTTGAAAACCTGAAGACGCTGGTGTGTTACCAGTTTGAAAGGTCTGAGAAAACGAGGTATTCTTTTCGGGCCCTCCATAGCCTCTGACTATTCGTCACCTCAACAAATCTTGAGTCTGACTCTCCACCATGGGACTAGATTTCCCGTTACATAACCTCGGTTACGACCTTGGTAACCTCTACTTGTACGTCTCAATCTCTTTCTCCACTTCTACGAGCTTGGTGACTTCGACCGTCTCAGTCGAACCGCAAGCCACGGCGGCAAGCATGGCCACTATGGCCAATAACATTGCCAGAGAGATAAATGTGTTCCTTGTTATCCAATTCAAAACCGTACTACTCCTCCGCCCCGTATACGGGCTCCTGAATATGGCAGGAATATCCCTGTTGCTATTCAAGTCATTCGGCATAGTCCGGACCAAAACCATCTACCTGGCAATGCCATATTACCGATTTATATCAGCGTTGGCCCGCCATGTCAAACCGTGGACGTCTCCTCTTAGTACCTTCCTAGTGTTACGTCAGTGTTTTATTGATGAGGTATAGGACTTTACGTCTAATTCGAGGGGCATCCTCGGTGGTGAACCCATTTCACTATCCTAATCGTATGCCGTACCCGGGTGCGCTGCGTAGCCTGGCCACGCTGGGCTGCCTCTCGATCCCTCCGCAGGACGAGCCTAACTTCCGGTCCGGATGCGGCGGTAGAGGCATTGACCGGGCCAATTCCACCCGAGTCTCGAATTCATTCTGCATCCATGTTTCAGACTCAAACATTCCGTAGCGGGTTTAAGTATTGTATCTCCATATGCCAGAACTTCTGCTATGCGCCTCCTCCTCCGCCGGCTCTCCAAGGCCATCGTACAGTGATGACGGATGATAGCGTATTCCAGGTTATGGTCCTCACACTCAGCACTATCCGCATATCTTAGTCATCATAGTCCCGAATTCCACCAGTTTCGCACCACCATTCAGCCCCATCTCTCCGAGGTGCGGCGCCACTGTAACCTCCTACCCGCCGCCATCCTCTCAAGCGGGGCGCTCAACAAGCATGAAAAGGTTGCTTCACACCGTTTGCGTTCCGTATTTCAAGTCAAAGAAAGCTGCCCGCTATCGGGGCGGGGTGACGCCACCGGGTCTCCTTCACCTGCTGTTTACTGGTCTCGTCCAAGCAACACCAGGACCTCGTTGTGTCCCAGGTATTGTCTGCGGTGATAGTACCTCCAGCACATCCTCCAATTTGGCGCAGACAAACACCGCACTGCGTCCATTGGCGGGATGCACCAGCATTCTTTCAACCAAGAGCTTATTTCGTTTTTTTCAGTCGTCCTGAGCGCAACTCGTTATCGCTTGTCTTGATGCTGTCCACTATCTCGCATTTCAAAACCAATTTGATATCCCCACAGCAGTTGCAGGGTCCCAGCCGCACGGCCATTCCGACTGTTGGAGACAGTATCAAAGCATATCAGGTGAGCCGCCCCTCACCGTCCACTTCCGCCGCCGCCTGGTTGAAAGCTGTTGCCTGCGCCCCAGGCTGCCTCCAGTACCCTCCTCAACGCAACGGGCAGGCGCACCCTCTCTCACCGTATGGCGGTGCCCCTTCAAGTGGCTGACATATAATTCCCGTCCCCTCTAAGCCGCCGTTCAGCCTGGATTTTTCGTCCAGCAAAGCAGCAGGTGCGGCATGGTGTATGCTTATTTAGGCTGCCGCCCGTCCCTTGACACTCAGCGCCATCAGCAATCTGTTGCTCCTCCTCGCCAGCCTCTACCCCCGTACCCTTCCCATCTCCACATCCCCACGTCCCAAACTTCTCCCCTTAGGTGCTCACGCGTCCTTATGGTACCAAATCCCCATTCCCAGTGACCCTCAGTTCAACACGATGCCATCGCCCGCGGCTACTAGTGCCCTTGCCTGCATGCTTCCTGTCCTGCTTCGGGCCGCCGGCTGGGTGAGTCCGGTATCACAACAACGATGGCTATTGAGTCACGATTCATGACAATAACCTGCAATCTACATGACTGTTGTCCATCGTTCCTGGCGCTGTAAGCGCGCGAATCCGTCCTCTCTCCAACCCGCGGCGCCCACCACGAGGCAATGGACCACCATTGGACAGGGCCAAGCATATGTTGTCTGAATAATTGATTGATGCCGGCCATGATCGTTGGGCAGGGCCATCGGGCACCTAGCACCTTGAGCGCAGACTCTGCGGGGCGATGCCCCGAAGGAACGGGCGGCCTCAACTCGTGGCCTGAGACACCTGCCGGATACCGAGGTTGTGAGCGGATAGCTGGGGGCAGTGCGGAGATCACCTTGGCAAATGACCGCCGGGGTGTAGCCCAGGCCGAAAAAAGGTGCCGGCACCAGTAACGTAACTTCGGCATCGTCTGCAATCACCATCCAGTATGGGACGCATCATAGTGTTCTGCCCCTGT